TTCAATGAGAAATTAAGGGCAAAATCAGTCATATTAAAGAATTTTACAACTGCAGTTTCAAAACTGCTTTTTTTCTGCTGAACGCAGCCAGCTCAGTCACTTGTGATTTCCAAAAAGTTAGCATACTATTTTCGCAACTTCGGTATACTTAATTCATAGAATTATAATTTTTTTTTTTTTTTTTAAGTACTAGAGACCGCGATATGTTCGCGAGAAATTTTGATGAATTAAAAGTAAAAACTAAAAATCCGAAGATATAAAATCAATATCACGGTTCTATAGATAGAAATTGATAACAATTTTTTTATTTTATCGAAATCGAGTCGGAGTCATAATACCCTTTAATAAAGCTCTCGAGGTATTATCTGGAACTCGAGAGACTGTCAGATATCCGAGAAAAGTATTTTAGCCATGGGAACTTTACAGAGATCGCGTTGCGTCCACTTGACGCAATCATTTGTTACATGACGAGATGCTAGAAACGCATATGTGTGTAGCTCTTGATGTCGAAGCTGGCTTAGATGTATAAATAAAACTCTCTCGCCTCTCGCGGAGTTACGGTAATTATTTTAGTCAATGCCGTAATAAGGATGTCGCTGACAATCGTCGCACACGAACAATTGATTCTTACATGCATTAACGAACTGTACAAGAGCTCTCCCTCCCCGACGCGTTCATGCTTTATGAACGTATCGCTAACTCACGCTCCTGTAGATGGAACAGCTTTGACGTGAGCAGAGTTATGAATGGAATGGAGAGACAAGACCAGCACGCATCGCGCGATAGCATTAATGCACATTGCAGTTGCGTGTATAATCAGCGAGAAATTACCGTATATAATTTCTTTATATTCTTCAGAGATTATTACACGAATTTTCAATGTGACTTTCCATATTAAGATAGTAAAATAGAAAGATTTACATATTTCCGACACACTTTTCAAGATTCGAAGGATATTAATCTTCCGTCTGCAATTTCAGTCCTTTTTTGTCCAGCCCATACGTTTTCTTTTCATCTCTATTATCCTACTCTTAAAAATTGAAAATTGAGCCACTTTTCAAGACTAGCTTAATTTTCATTCTTTAGAGTGAGAGTTCCTTCAAAGAATTTAGAGTTCTTCTTTTATCTTTAAAAATGTTATTTAATAAAAACTGAAATTTTGTTCAGAAAATGATGTTGAAATTTGAGAGTGAAATTTTGCTTGTGCCAGAAAAAAGCTCAGATTGCAAACGGAGAGTTTAAATAACTTTTCATTTGAGCAAAATAAACAAAATAAATGGCGAAAAAGAGTCGTCGCATAATATATATAATTAAAGATAATAGTCATAGATACATAAAATAAAAAGTAAAACGGCGTATATTAAAATATAAAACAAACAAGTTTCGGCTGCTGGATTGAGCCCTCCTCAGATGTAAAAAGAATATAATATAAAAGACATAAAAGATTACAACAAAGAAATAAATCCTTTTCCGTTTTTCAGTCAGCACTTGACTATGTTTCTTAACATCGGTTTGATTGCCCCATCGCATATACAACATTAAGCTACGTCGAGATCCATCACATTTGCTGATTTCCGCGCGTTAAAAATGTTGCGTCACTGAATGTTATCGATTTATTATTTTTTTGTTGTATTCTTTTATGTCTTTTATATTATATTCTTTTTACATCTGAGGAGGGCTCAATCCAGCAGCCGAAACTTGTTTGTTTTATATTTTAATATACGCCGTTTTACTTTTTATTTTATGTATCTATGACTATTATCTTTAATTATATATATTATGCGACGACTCTTTTTCGCCATTTATTTTGTTTATTTTGTTTATACATAAAGAGTCTTTACACCGCTGTTATTTAATTTTCATTTGAGTACAATGACTAACAGAGGTACTTGGTGGTAGCATACCGCCTCGATATACTCGTACGTTTTGCATAACCATCTCGCGCGGTCGCTGCGCTGTCCTTTTCTCCTTTCGCTGCGAGCAAAAGGCAGAGAGCAATTATCCGTTTCTCGAGAGCGCACGCACTCTCCCTACCGGGAAAGGGTTGCGTGCGCCGCGCCCGGCGAGTTCATTGAACCGACACACGACACAGTGGCTGCGAATAGCTGCAGCCACCTTGCGCGTTTTACACAACCACCCTTTCGTTTCTTTTTCCTTCTTTTTCCCTCGCAAACTCTCGCGCACGTCGATACTCTCTCTCGGTTCGTTCGGCGAAAGGATGTTAAAAAAAAAAAGGGAAAGAGGCGGTTCGAGAGAGAGAGAGAGAGAGAGAGAGAGAGAGAGAGAGAGAGAGAGCAACGAGGACAGGCGGAAGGGCGATCAGGAAGGGTGGGTAGATGGGTGCAGTTGACGGTATCAAAAACAAGGAAAGCCTTTGTCGCCGGGCCTCCGCATGCTACAGCGGGCAAGGGCAGAAGGTGCAGAATATAATGGGGCACGTGTTCGGCCGAGCTGCGCTAATGACACGGTTTCGCGGAGCTCTCGATGCCGCATTGTCCACGCAAACTCTTTTATACCGCCTCCGCCGTCGTTTTCGCCGCATTGTAAAGCCTGGTACGTGTTTGCACATTCGCGCAGACTCGGGCTCTCCGTTTCTCTCGATATTTTCTCGTTATATCTACTTGTGACTCCTGGGAATAATAGCCATCCCCGTTCGATTGTTCGAGAGGTTTGTCGATCGAGTCACCGGGAATCGATAAGATCTATAAACTTTTTATGTGCAGGGAATTAATTGAATTCTTTTGCGATTGGAGCCGCATTAAAAATAAATCCTTGCCGATTAGATTCTTTTCCGAGAAGTGTGCTTCGTAAACAGAAATCTACCTGCACTGAAAAGTAGATATGGATTTGAAAATAAT